CTCTCCAACGATGCAATCAATGAAGCCTTTTATGGGCTCTCAAGCAATATTTATTCGATACAATTGATTCTAATAGGACCTTACATCGATCCTGCATTGGAGGTGAATTTATTAATGCAGATTAGTATTTCAAAGTCTGCAGTGTAAGCTACCATTGAGTGGCACGGTGAACGGGCTGTCTAATTAAATTTACGACTCTTGGGTAGTACGAGGGTTGTAGTAGTTACGTAGAACATGTTGTTTAAAGTACCTAATTAAAGTTATTGACTTAATTTTACGTGTATGTGCTGATAGAATTAATGAAATTCGAATTGTAATATTGATTTTATTGAATACCTCGATGTTTTATTACCGTGATATGCATTATATTTCATTTTTTTGAAATTACAATGTGAAAATATTACGAAAATTTTCTTTGTGTTCCATCTTTGCATTAATAATTATAACAAACTAGTGGAGATTCCAATTGTTAAAGTTTTAAATGTATCAAATCTTATTCGTTCCACTGGTGGAAGAGTGCAAATATAAAATGCGTATTATAATATATTAACTATGAAATAGACTACACAAGGATTCGCGTAGTAAATAAAGTAATAAGTTGAATCACAGCCCCTTGTATGAGTATAAATGTGCCATAATAAATTAGTGACGCGCCCTCCTTATCAGATTGGAAGTACCACAAATAAACGATAACTCGTTGTTATTTATAGAAATGCGTTTTTGCCAGCGGAATAGTCCATTTCTAACGCTATAGAAACGAAAAGATTTTTTTTACAATATCAAGTGACATGACGAAAAATACTTTTTCGTCTGTTATGGAACCAGCTACACGCCTGTCCATAACAGCTGCTATGTCACTCAGAGCTTTAAATCGCAAAGATCTTATGGGCACTGCCACTGCGCCCGTCACCCTGAGACATAAGTTGACAAGTCCCATGTGCCTGTAATTTCACCAGCACTCTTACCCTTCTAAACAGGAACACGACAATGCTGATATTACTGCTTGGCGGCATATGGGCAAGGTGGCTTTACTACCCTGGACGAACTCTTCCACAAGGAGCTCTACTACTGCTAAACGTTGCTCTTTCGCAACGAGCTCTACTGTTTTCTATTGTATAAAGTATTTGTGATACCAACTACGATTATTGCGTTCCAGTTTTCCAGTCTGGGGAGACATACGGAAGGTATTCATGATGGATTTCCTCGCGTAAAAAAAAATTACCACTGACCACCAGAAGTCAGAATGGTTAATGTAGGTACTAGGTTATGTTGAATATACCAGAATGTTTAGTTTGAATTTAATTTGGTTTTTTATTTAAACGTCCTGATACACAATATGTGGCCAGTGGTTCGTGTGAACCACATGAACGTTGTTATCATAATTTGACCTTTTTTAGCGTTCCTTTGAATATGTCCATGAATATAAATTGGTTTGTAAGCAAGGAAATTGTTTTTATTGGTCTAGAATTAAGGGAAACTTGGGAAATTTTGGTGCTGGTGAAGGCAGGTAAAGTACTAATATACCAATGCTAAGTCTATATGAATATACGAATATACCAATACTAATATCATTGGGCTTTTGGTCAGTTTAGTAATCATCTGATATAAACACAATAATTAAAATGTTAACTATTAATTTAAATTTAAAAATTTGATTTTTCCAGCTTATTATTTTCAAATAAATAACTTTACAACTATTTATGCATTTATAATACAAGAAAATTTTATTGTCAAGAGCCACATACATGTGCGATACAAATCTCACATTAATATAGTTATAAATCTGTGTAAGTATGTAAGCAAATACCCCTTAATACTCTGCTCTAATCTAAGATTTTCTTTCAATCATTAACGTTAACGGACAAATAACTTTCTCTACGTCTGAAAACCCATAGAATGGCTTAACCAATACCACAGGTTAATTATAACCAGCAAACAAAATATTACCATTTTTGACCATGGGATTTGTGACGTTGGTTTGATTGAGAAAACAGACGTACACCGTTTAGATCCGAAAAAATAGTTTCATTCGCAATATTGTATTAAAAATGCTTTCATATCGATTTATAATTGATTGCATCTTTCAATATCACCTCCAAAATTCGTGTAAATAAATTGATAACCAGCAGTCCTTGAAGACAAGTCTTCGAGCAGTGCGTGTTGCCAGCAATGACCTACGGCTCCGAGACGTGGGCCTTGGTGGGACTTACTATGGGTCTCATAAAAAGCTCAAAGTCACTCACGAGCTTTCTCGGCTTTTCCCTACGTGATCGAATCAGAAATGAGGAGATCCACAGAACGAAAGTCACCAATATAGCTCAAAGATTAGCAAGTTGAAGTGGCAGTGGGCAGAGCACATAGCTCGTAGAACTGATGTCCATTGGGGCAGAAAGGTTCTTAAACAGAAACCACGAACCTGAAGGCGTTAAGTGAGACGTCTCCCTACTAGATGGACGGATGACCTGACAAGAAGTAATCGATGGATGAACGTCGCGTCGACTGGCTAATCTGGCAATGTTTGGGGGAGGCCTATCTTCAGCAGTTGACGTCTTCCGGTTGATATGATGATGATGATGATGATTGGGAAGTAAACAATGACATATTTATAATTACGCATAAAAATCTTCCAGTTTAGCATCATGTTATGAATAACGGAACGAACGTAGCACGTAATTCTATTGATATCTTTGCGTGATAACAAGCAAAAATCGTCAGCTACTACCCCGATAATTAGATGAAAACGATTCAATTACGTTAGCTATAGACCGTATCTTCAGGCGGTAATTTATAAGAAACTCACGCACTTACGTCATAATATGAACACGCGAAAACATCTTGTTCCTCCCATTACATAATAAAAAGTACTTTGTATTATGGACTGTATATAGTCTGGATTATATCTCTACACAATCCTTTCCTTTTTCCTGTCTACAAAAGAGCTTTAAGAGACAAGCTCAGTTATTATCACAGTATGATCTTCCCATTTTGGCTTAAGCTTTGTATTGTCTGTGGTCTCCCTGGGGTAAAGGAAACTTTCACTGCGTCTGATAATTAAAGTGTTTTAGGAAGTTAGAGAATATATATGTATGTTTTACTTTTAGATTTTATGCTTTATTAAATGAACTCCTAGTCAGTGCGTTTTATTAAGAACCGCCAGATAACATACTGTATGGCTAAATTATTGAGAGCAAATTCGAGATTAATTTTCATTCTTGGCACAAAAAATAAGTCACTTGCAATTCCATATTTACAATCGTAGTTTTCTATAGGTTTATTATTTGCCACGTTTGACTAGTCCCATAATGTTGCTTTAAAATTGGAAATAAAAAATTTACACTTTCAAATTTCAATTAAAACGCTTTGTAATTAAATTTAAATTTCTAAGTACGATGTCGTAAATTATTTTGACACATGTATCTTCAGTTACTCTTTGTTCTCTATACTCATTATCATTATAAATATTTCGATTCATTATAGATATTTCGATCACACATTTCAGTAGAAATACTAGAATAACAAACATAGTAAAACACTAGCAATTACGAACGATAAATACTTAGTTATTGATTAATTAATCACAATTAGTAATAAACTCACGAGTTGCCTGGTTGCAGTGAAACGCCAAACTCTAATTGCTGCGTATAATTTATTATTAGCCCTAAATTTGGCCATGTCGATAGCATTGCTACCCAGCCGTCAGTCTTGGGATTCCAAGCATCGTTGCATTGCACGGTGGGAGCAGATTGTCAACCTTTTCCTAGTGAACACTGGTACTTATGATACTTTAGGAAATATTAAATAATACCTCTTTTTTACTTCTGCTAATCACCATTAACAAGTGGCTTGATGATTATTGTAACATAGTAGTCAGATTTGTCCTTTACCCAGAGTGTCATATGCAGTATTTTATGTTTTTACATACTACGTAAAAGAATCAAAATGGCGGTCACTGATTCGCATTTTACATAAAACGTTCAAGCGAACGCAAACTACAATGGGAAAGGCGCTAAACGCCCAATGTACAATAAAATGTACTACTACATGCTTCAGGCACGTATTTTTCTTTTTCTAATTTATTGAATGAATATAATTAATGATGTGAATAAAACCTACAATACGCCAGCACATCAAGCTACACATTGACGTATCTTGTTCTGTTGCAATGGAAGCGATTTTCGAACAAAAATGTATAGTCTGATGTGCCGTTGTCCGTACAAATGCAAACATTTCACAAAATTTTATAGTTGGGAATGGTGTGTATCCGAAAATTTGGTGATTAGATTACAAATAGTTACTATAACATATTTCCAGAATTATAATGACATGTCTACCAATAAGGTAAGAAAAGTGAAATGACAGGTCTTGTCAATTTGCCCCTTGATCGAGTCGGGAAGTTACTTGACGTGGCGTCGTTTAATTAATTGCCATATTAGTCACCGTACCTTATTTTTCTACTTAGTTACGTTATTCTTTTAAGCCCGTTGAATAAATTAGTTGAGACTAGTTTCTTGCCTCTTTGAAAGGAAAAAAATACACGCGAAGTTCAGGACAGCAGCATCAAATGAATTAACAAACTTTTAGCAACTTCTTTTCGTCTTTGTGTTATGTTTTATATACTAAATCTATGGTTTTATTACTAGTAAATCTTATTTGTACGGACAATGGCACATCAGACTACATATTTTTGTTTGAAAATCGCCTCCATTGCAACGGAACAAGATACGTCAATGTGTAGCTTGATGTGCTGGCGTGTGTACTTTCAATTTGTGAAATAATGATGAGTTAGATACGTAAATAATTTTGTGCTTGCAAATTTACGATCATATTTTAGAATTTCAAACAACTTGCTATTATTTAGGATGCAACTCTTAATTTGGCTGTTTTTGTATTATGATACTTGCTATGTTATTATTAATTCTAATTCAAAAGTCTCAATCAGGAACAAATCGTTGAAAACCACTGCAATATTTCACCTAGGCGGAACACGTCGATCTCGTGATCTATAAAAAGGCTTACGTCCAGTACATCTGGATCAAATCCAGACCACTGACAGTCTTTACTGTGACTTTGACTACACCCGTCCATAAAAGGGAAATATATTGAAATGGTGCGTGACTTTCGTTTGTAGTGAAAACCAAACCTATTTAGTGGCTCAATTATATTTTGTGAAGTGACCTTTGTGCCCGGATTAATTAACACATTTTGGGGTTGAAATAACCTATTGCCCTAGTTTAAAGTGGTTTTTTATTCCATTGCTCATAAAATATGGATTGATCAATGTCGTGAGAAATTTCACTATTAACTTGTTTTGTTTTTAAATTAAGTATGAATTTTGTAGAAGTATGGTTGAACATTTCAAATTACGGCTTGTTTTGCAATTTTTTAATAATATCAATGTTCTCTTACATGAATGGTGTACAGGAGGAGCTCGACAAGACTCAGTTGCAGCGTAAGTACTTAGCAACCGTCAAATTAATTAGTTATATCTCAATTTCCCAATTTGTCCAAAAAGGAGTGAACCAGCCCATCGGCTTATGTCACTCAATCTCCTGTTTATTAATTACATTGGCTACTGTTAATATAAGTAGGTAGGTTGGTACCTAAATTTTTTACTACATTATTTAATGTATAATAATTTCAAATTATTTGGTTACCTATCGACTTTAACTACATATAATTCGAAAATTGAGGCCATCAGCGCAAATGTGGTATAATCCACATTTTTTTTTACAATATTATTTTAAATGATACTAAAATTCACAATTATTTTACATTTAGATGCTATATTATTATACAAACACTATTTAAGAAACGAATATAGGATCTAATATATATAGTAATATTGTACAAAAACAATTAAATGTGGGTTACACCACATTTCAGCTGATAACCTCAATTATCTGCTCAAAATTTGTAATTTTTAACGAACAACTAACATGCTCAACGATTGACCTTAAAATTAAGTGATACAATAAAATAATAAGTACCTTTTAACAAGTTTTAAAAAATGTAAATTATAAGTTCTTCTATTTTTGTAAGCTTAACCAATTATTGTCAAATATTTTATTTCACGATGATTATTAATTCCAGTGTTGAAAAACGCATTCGACGCGTTCGACCACGAGAAGAAAGGCGTTATCAGTACAGACATGATAGGCACCATCCTAGAGATGTTGGGTCATGAATTGGACGAAGCCACTCTCAAGGAAATTATCACGGAAGTTGACGAAGACGGTAGGATTATCTTTTCAAGTTGAATTAAATATAAGAAAACAGACCTCAAAAACTTGCTTATTCATTTTCGCTGTTTTATTTTCATTGAAATTTACATCTTCGTGTCAAGTTTCATTGAAATAGGTTGATAAAAGTGGGTGAAATTTTTTAAGCCGGATTCATTCCCTAATTTGCCACCCTTAGAGATGGATTACCCTTTTCCAACAAAAAAAAATAGCATAAGTACAAAAATACAGACGAACCTCCTCCTTTCTGAACTTCTTTTTTCAAGTCGGTTAAAAAGAAAACGCCATTAAAACTGCGGCGATATTCTTAACTATTTGGTTCTTGTATAGATGGCTATTTTGGCAAACTAAGTTAATAATTTTACGATGTGTTCATAGATGGCGCTGTTAGCTATAGTTGCTTTTAGCTTACAAGATAGTAAGTGGAAGTTAGACGAACGTTTCATAGATGGCGTTAACACATTTTAATAAAGAGTCGAAAAATTTATTACATCAATTTCAATATTATAGTTATGGTATTTTATTAAAATCTTTTAGAAGCTCTAATTTGATTTTAAAGTAATTTAGATTAGGTAGTTTGTGAAGAGCGGCAGCAGTTTGTAGGTTTGAATCTCACGTATGTGACACACAAGTGTCGGAATCATAATTTCACAATATTTTAATCAGAATACATAATTATGATCAATGCTTTGAAAAGAAAAAAGAAAAAAAAGAAAAAGAAACGCCTCACCGTGACAATGCACTTCGCATTGCCGTGACCAGGATTCGAACCTGGGTTACTACGGCCACAACGTAGGGTCCTAACCACTAGACGATCACGGCTGTTGAGGCTTGGAATATTACGGCGAAATTAACGGCTACTATATTTTGTAGTACGTTTGGAAAGTAAAGTATTTTGATATAGTTTAACAATTAGATTCATAAATTATAGTTATTATTATTGTTTACAGGTTCTGGAGAGCTAGAATTCCCTGAATTCTGCTCATTGGCTGCTAAATTCCTGACAGAAGAAGAGGAAGACAATGAAACTATGGTTGCGGAGTTGAGGGAAGCTTTCCGGTTATACGACAAAGAAGGTATTTAACAAAACGGTTCGACTATTATATTAATAGTAATAAATAGGTATGTTTCGGTCAATGACACTGAGGTACCTACAAATAATTCCAGTGCACTATGTTATATAATCACTTAATGACTCTTTGAAATTGACTCTAACATGTACAAGATTAATCGAACGTGCTATTTGCAGCTATGAATCACTTTGAAATCTATACTAACTGCTAAAGTGTTGTTATTTGTATCGAGTTACACCAACGTTTTATACCCTGTTTTATAAATTTAGGCAACGGCTACATCACGACTGATGTGTTGATGGAGATCTTCAAAGAGCTGGACAATACTATTACGGCCGATGACCTAGAGACCATGATTGAAGAGATTGATTCTGATGGCTCCGGAACAGTGGACTTCGATGGTATGTTTTGTACTTCTCACTGACATACTTGAAGTTTGGAAAATGAATAATAATAATAAATCTTTTAGGCCTTGGGAGAGGCGAGAGTCTAAAATAGATAATAATAATAATAGCGTGGTCCAAACCAGCTAACAAGCTGAGAAAAATAAAGAAAATAATAATAATAATAAGCATTTATTTCAGACATACCAAATCCATAGAATCACAAGTATGTTAAATTAGAATTAAATATTGGATATAACTTCTTACATACAATAAATAGGTATATTTAATTATTAATACCTGAAATCCAATGTCGCAGTATGGACGAGTCGCAACAGCGAGATATAGCAACTATAATTACTGTCTAGCACTCTCTGTCTAAGATATACGTAATTATTATAAACAAGCCAACATATGGAGTTAAACTTAATTATAGATAAAATTTAAAAAATGGGTAACAAACACACATCAGATCAATTATCTAACCTTTGATAACGGAAATGTAATTTAGAAATTCTTTGTTTCAGAATTCCTTGAAGTAATGACTGGTGAATAAACAAGAAACCAGACTTACCTACTTACCTACATAGCAACTAAGTATTAGACTTATGCCTTTTAAGTAAATTTAATATAATAATAAAATGTAAGAAAACGACCAAAGTCCACTTTCAAAGACTTCATGGTGATATTGAAGATTCAAGGAGGGTGGATTTTGATGAAATTCAACTTATATAAGTTTGTTTAATATAAAAATTAATACATGGAACATCTATAAGCGCGCTGTTATACTATTTTTATACAATAATATAATTATTGTCTCTATCTTTTAGTTTGACTTCATTCACCATACCTAAAATTACTCATAACTTTTTATTAAAAAAACCGGCCTCAAAAAATTGTGGAATTACATCTATTCGCCAAGTTTTAATGAAATCGGTTAAGGGAAAGTGGATGAAATCCAATAAATCGGATTAATCCTTAATTTGCTATTCTTAGAGATGAAATATTTTCTTCAAATTTAAAAAACGGGACCACTAATGACGTTTACCCCTTTTCCAACAAATATGAGTTATCGAAATCAGTTCACAAAAAACTTACAGTGAAATTGACCTTCATAAATTTTCTCTTTTTTTTTGAAGTCGGTTAATAACACATAAAATTTTTTACGTAGACATTTATAAAAGATGCTAATAGACACACGATATACTTATTTTTTAGTCATTTTCCGTTATTTTTGTAAACAACCATATTTATTTATAAATATTACGCTCCCCGAATTTTGTGCAAAAAAAAGGAAAGAAAAAACAAAATTGGTCCTACCGGGATTCGCATTCGGAATCTTCTTGTTCAGAGCGCATAGTGCAAACTGTTAGGCCGTGGAGGTAGTCAATGATTGACACTTGAAATAAATGATAATAAAACCAATTAACTTTAAGAACGAAGTTGTAAAAGAGACCTGATCGAATTGAGCTGAATTATCAAGTTGCAGTATTATTTCTTCAGTGTCGTATTGTATAACGGCTTGCCTGATGCCTCTCGTTGCCTTTTACGACACTAAAAAGTTGAAGTAATGTCTTCTCTTAACATTCGCATTGCATTGTTTACAACAGTTGCGTAATTTCAACATTTAGCAAGCCCAAAAGAAAATTGAACAGTCGTTTAGTTACGCAGCAAAGAGAATAACAATTTAAGACATAACGGAAATGAACTCGCATAAATGAATTTCTTTTTAAACAATGAATGCAATTAGTTAGGTGGTAAGAGTATTACAATATAAATTCTGGTATCTCTCAAGTTAAAGACTGGTTATAAATAATTTGCATAGATATAGAACATAATTTGCATAGATATAGACCACTTAATAATGATCTTGCAAATATCTCCGAGACATCTAAATTATCATAAAGAACGTAATCGACATTTTTAACCGATTTCAAAAAAAGGAGTAGGTTCTCAATTCGACTGTATTTTTTTGTATGTATTTTACGCGATAATTTGTGAACCGACTTTGGTGATTCTTTTTTGTTGGGTAGAGGGTACCTCTGTAATGGTCCCATTTAAATTTGAAGAAAATATTCCACTTCTAAGGGTGGCAAACTGAAGAATCCGGTTTCGCGCACTTTCCGGTAATCGATTTCAATACAACTTGGCAAATAGATGTAATTCCACGAAGTTTTGAGGTCGGTTTTTTTAGTACTCCGTACAGAGATTATTAGCGAAATTGAGTTATTAACATAATATCTGGAATCAGTTATTTATTTTTATTTACCAATCGGTTATTTAATATCATGTTTAAACAAATTCGGCGTCATGGACGGTTTTCAAAGAAAAAAAAACTTTAAGTGTCAATATCTCGAAAGTTACGAAAACGCAAAAGCGTTATTTATGAAAAAGGGTAGAACTATGCAAAATATTTCGCGAATTGTGTAAAATCAGAAATGACTTTCGGACACAAGCATGTTCTACGGCAAAACATCTAGAATCAATGGTCCATTATTAAAATAACAACAATTCCTAATGAGACATTAAACTGCGTGTAAATTCTAGCAAAGGGTATAATTTCAATTTATGACTAGAATTTTTTTCGACTACTTTTATGATTCTATTATAGTTAAAGAAATTTAAATACAGATGTCCAGATAATATATTAATTATTTCGTAATTAACATTAAATATACTGGAAGTAAAGAGCTGATTAGTTGTGGGTTTTTGCAAAACCATCCAAGAACGATGCCCAAATCTCGTTGGCAAATCTTTTCCTTGTTATTGGACTGTAATTTTCACTCACGTGAACACCGAACACGCGAATACAGGAAGAAATCAGCGGAGTGAGTAGACCACAACCCTTATTTCCTACGGCATATCGTAGCTTAATCAGATCATCATAAATGTGAACCCTTGCGGTTTCCGCCTTTGTAATTTGATTAGATTTTCATTCTTGAGTGTATAGAAGTTATTATGTTATTTGCCTAACTGATTGTTTAGTTTAATTTCCTTTAACATAATTGTCTATAACGTTAAGAACTACGCGGATTAGTAAGATGTAGAACTATCCCTCAGGGTCTGTGCCACGCATCTTTTAAATTTAATTTTCTTCAAGTGAGATTGTGGACAAAAGTAAACCTTGACTCTATACAATAGAAACGCAATTATATCTCTCGCTTGTTTGAAAATTACCGAATCAATCAAGAGGAAGTTGTGCACGAGATTCAGTAACATATTCAGAGATAACTTTTTTTTCTTATGATACCAATTGAAGCTACTAAACTAATTATACTAAGCGGGATAAGATTAATTAGGATCTTTCATTTTACGTAGTTTAGAAATGTAAGTTTATGCTTAAGGCTAAAAGTTTAGTATGCAATTAGTGCTCCAAGTAAAGCGTATAATTATCGGAAATATCAAAGTTCTTGAATATATGGCATGGGCATGGAAGGAATATGACATATGCGCTCCTTGCACACGGGCTCAGCTCGTTCTAACTATGCGAAACACTCTGTTTTGTATAGAGTTGTACGTACTTATGAGGACAAACTTAAAGACGTTTGATATCTTCTTTTCGAACCGCAACAAATTTATTAATTCTTTGATGGAACACCCCCACTTCAAAAGGTAATTATTGTTATATAAACAGAGCACAAACACACATACACGCATATACACATACACCTTCACACAAGTAGACACACAAATGCGCATACTCTACTATAATCCATTTGTTTACTACATTATATTGTATGTATGCTTCGTAAGTATATTATTCAGAATTGTAAACCAAATTTAAAAGCTGTAAAGTTTGCAAATAAATAAATATTAGTCGGCGCAAATGGTCATTTTCCTGCTTGCGAAACTTCGGTAACTCTTATCTCAAAAGCCTATCAAAATCTCTCATAGAACAAGTTGTGTAGGAGCAATTGCAATGGTAAGGAATGTGAGTAAAAATCGTAGGCGTGCACAGGTTCTGGTTAGTATTACAATAATAACGGTCTCAATTAACGGAGTTGTTTATTAGTAAGCAATAAGACAATCAGAAAATTTAACCTCGTAAATGCACATAATGTGTGAAGTGATTATATACAGACAATAATTATTTCTATGATCACACGAACGCTCGGTGTACATTATAATGAAAATATCGCATACAAATTTAGCACTATTTTTTTATAATACCAAGTGGCGAGACGAACCAGTCGTGCGCCTGATGAGAAGCTTTACCGTTATTAATAATTATTTCTATAAAATTAGAAATAAGTAGACCGACGTATTAGGTTGGAGCAAATACATACAAGACATTTTTATCAATACCAACCATTTAGATGAATTATGTAAAATTTTATGACTAAACAATTAATGGAACCACATCACCAAACAACAAAACAATACATGAAAAAAAAAACGACAAATAAACCGACAATTAAAAATAAACTTTATAATCCTGCTATTCAAAAATGTTACTTTTGCAGAGTCATATTCTAATTAACTTTTGATTTGAACTCAGTAATTAACTACGACCGAGACGCGACTGTTTACCTTTCTCACTTGCGCCCGTGCGTTGCAATTTTTTCTACCTCTATCATGACTCGATTTTTCTTGACTTGCAATGTAATTAATTATTTTAGTTGCGTGCAAGCAGGATACAATATAGACGTTTATTTATTAGAGTGAAAAAGACAGGTGCTTAGTGCATGGAATTTTGTATGTTTCCTGTAAGTTTATTTAGCAACTATTGGCTGGGTTGTATTGCCGGAAAAAATTTGTTAGGCGTTTTGTAACATATAATATTTGAAAATCAGTACCGGGAGCTCATTGTGTTTTCCAGCAAATACTGAGTTAGTGATCCTTTTGTTACCGCTGCTGACACCACATGAAGTATCTTTATACTTAATGTCTTTGTTTATATTTAAGTACGTAAATAATTTGGGGTTTAATTTAGTTTTTGTTCAATTTGTGATTTGGCTTGTAATTATTTATTTGTGTATTAAGTGTGAATGTTTTTATTATATTTTAATTTGCTTTCTGTTTTGTTTCTATTCTTGTGTTGTGTAATTTGAGGTAGTCAAGTAAATTTTCTTTCTTCTAAAATCAGTGAATTTACAAAATAATGTCCTTTTGCGAGTACACTAGATCAGCCAATTTCCTACACAAGCTGATAGGAATCGTGTTATATGGATCCTTCACCACTGCCAGATACGTAATACTAGCTAACAATGAGTATCTATGAATGCCATTTTAGCCCGGTAATTCTGATGTATTTACTAACTATGAGGAAAACAGTTTTCGTAGCGTTTTCAAAACAAACACTTCGTAAAGAATTCCTTAGTATGTGTCTTTTTGTTTTTGTTTTGTGCTTTGAGGGAATTCTAAGTCATTAGCGTTTTTTTGGTGACTTAAGCGAAAAGAATAAGAAAGCGAAACTTGAAATAATGACTCGTTCTACCAATACGGATTTCTACATTTCAAAAATTTAAGATATTTTTAGTATATAAAATTAAAACATATTTACATTTTGAAGAGTTTTTAGGAAATATACTATATTATAAATTAATATATATTAATTACATCAAATTACACAGGCAAAATTCTGGAACGGTATGCCATCGCAGTTCACTTCTAGTTTCGTAATCTGCTCCAAAATCGTTCCTAATTG